TCGAACAAAAAGGATTTCGCGAACATGAAACAACAAAGTAATATTGTCTCAATATGTAATTTCCAAGATTACTTTACTGTGAGGTGAACACCTAAGTACTTAAATGTTTGCACCTTTTCTATATCTACACCATTAATTTGATAAGTATGCTCGGGAGTGTTGGTTCTTGTAGTGAACGTCATATGTTTCGTTTTATCCGCATTTATCTGCATTTGCCAATCAACACACCATAGTGAAATTTTGTCTAGATCTGCCTGAAGTAATGCGTTATCAGAGGGGGAAGATATAGTTCGGTAGATGACGCAGTCGTCTGCAAAAAGTCAGATCGCGGACTGAATGTTTACGTGAATATCATTAATGTATAGTAAGAAGAGGAGCGGCCAAGTACTGATCCTTGCGGTACACCAGATTTTACGGCTATTGGGGGAGAGATTATGTAATCGATAATGACACACTGACGTCAATTTGAAAGTCAGATCCGTTTAATGAAACCCATTTCTAGATTAGCATCTGTCAGTTTTTTTTATTAACCTTGTATGCGGAACACGAACAAAGGCTTTAGCAAAGTAAATAAAAGTTGCGTCAGTTCCGGGGGAGGAGTGAATACTTTTATGAAGGTCCGTAATTAAATCGAAAAGTTGAAGTTCACAGGAACGTCCCTGTAGAAAGCCATGCTGGTTTGAAAAGAGAAGGTTAATTGTTAGTCACGAGATACTTCATAGTCTTAAAATAAATTATGTGTTCCAGTAATTTACATGATACGCAAGTAAGAGAGATGGGTCTGTAATTTGTGAGGGAGTTGCGATTGCCGGATTTGTAAATAGGAATGACATGGGCCAGTTTCCAATCGTCGGGTAGGGTTCCAGTAGAAAGTGACTTTTGGAAGAGTGCTCCTAAAAGTTTGCTGGATATGTCTTTTGTTAATTTCAGCAATTTCGTGTTATTTCCTTCCGGACCAGGGCTTGAATTTGTTGGCAGTCGATCTATTGCATTGGCAACTCCCTCACTGGTGATGATAAAAGTGTCCATTTTAGTGGACGTTGAAGATATTAACATATTATTAGTCAAGGGCATTTCATCCGCGAAGACGCTACCAAAGAAAGAGTTAAATGCCTTTGCTGTCTCCAATGTGTTCAAAGCACTACCCTCTTTGAAAAAATAGAAAGGCGTAAATTCTTTGGTTTAGGGTTCACCACACTACAATATTTCTTCGGGTTGGTTTTCAAAATGTTAGACAGGTCGCTGTTAAAGAATTTAAGTTTGGCTCTCTTGATTTCTTTTTTGCAAGACCTTGAATGTGAACGATAAGACCCCCAGTCGTCCTGGGCGTCCGAACGCTTGGCTTTTGAATCAAGTCTCTTTTTCTTATTTATACACCGTCGTATCGTGTGCAGTGACATAACCTGATTTATACTCGCAATCCTGGCAGATCGTCACGAGAAGCGGCCGCCGAAATAGAAAAGGTGGAGCGGCAGACAACGGATGAGAGGAGAGCCACGTGACTAGCGCCCCGCTGCGGCGAGGCGCTGAAACACACTTTGCCCGAGCAATGGAATATCCACTCGTGCTCCTCGCGTTCCTCGCTCCACCGCTTCTTTTCTCGTCGGGTGTGAAAAACATTTTTCGGGTCCTCGCCGCTGAAAAAGTTGTGCGCAAAAAGTCCAGGTTCCCCGAGAAATGGCTTTTTGGTGCTCTGTACTACCAGATCCTCGCGCTCCAAATCCGCGACCGGGCACTCTGTGGCTGCGTTCCAAAATTTACTCGATCCGACTCCGGAGTAAAGGTTTCGTACCGTGGCGTTTCAAAACTTGCTCGTACTTACTCAATGACGTCAGAACTCGCGTCCCAGAAGCGGATTGTTTACTCCGGAGTAATTACTCACGCAACCCTGCTCGGTCTGTTGGTAACGTCGGATGAAATCAAGTTAATACGTCACGTGATCTGTTTGCCCTCTGCTCGTCGTCTGCTTTCTGCGCCGACTGTCGTCAAAGCTCGTTTGCTCCGTTGGCTTTGGTGGCAGACGTTTGAAATAACAAATAATGAGGTGCAGCCCTTTATGTGTGGTTATTGCGATTTGCTGTTTTCAACGCAAGAATTGTCTGTGCACCAAATCCAGACTGTGCACGTTCCCCGGCATACCCCATTATCATATTGCGAGCGTAAACAGGAGCTTCTCCGCATTCACGTCCTCGACTTTCGACGCAACTCCGTATTCTTCTGTTCAAGACTAAACATGTGCGAACGCAGTGAATGATGTGGAAGTTTCTTCTTTTTTTTAAGTGTGTGTAATGACAGGACAACGCCAGTAAAGCTGCCAGGGCTTTGAAGATTTCCTGTATATGATCAGTCAAACACCCCCTCTCTCTCCACACAAAAATTCCCTATAGTGGTTTGGAAGTTCCCTGTGTGATATGGTAATCATATTGGCATCAAAGCGAACCTAAGTTACATATTACTGTTGAGAAAGCCAGCTGCGCTGTACCGCTACACCGTGTGGAATCAATCCCTGCAAAACGTAACCGGGGCAAATTCCGATGCGTGGATCGTATGCGTTTAGAGCCACCTGGGTCCATTTGCTCGAAGCACTAATCGCGGCTGAAGTTAGCCGCGGTACCTAGGAGAGGGATTTTAAAATCACGTGACTGACTCACTAGGGATGCGGGGAAACATGGCAGCGCCCCGGTGAGTGAGCGCCGCTCGCTTTGGAACTAATATCTCGTTGTAGCTGCAATATCGGGCGCGTTAGTCAGGAACGTACGGTGCAGGAGACTTTCGCTTTGCCTTACCTCACTTAAATCGCAAAGCATGAGCAATGTCCTCGCCGCATTTTTTAGACAGTCTTTCGATTCTGGCCATTCCTAAGCCTAAATGAACGCGATAATTGTCGGCGTAGAAACGTCTTTAGAAAATGGATTGCCTTGGCTCCAACGGCAGGGCATTTATACCACACGAAAGCAGACAGCGCCCCAATCGACATATTTCTATATTATCCAAGCATGAAGGAGGATGCAGGGATTGGTGTTCCATGCTCCACACGCGCACGCCTTCCCCGTATAAAAGATTCAAAGTTAATGACTAAAATAAAGCGTTGACAAACGCCCGTGCAAGATGCCCTTAGTTTTAGGTATTTGCTTTAGAAATGTTACTACTGGTGACGCCAGCACATGCGGCGCGTGTGCTGGCACCAATCCCAGCATTCTCCTTGATTCTTGGGTAATATAGCAATGGGTCTATAGACCTTTCTCTAAATTTCCCAAACACCGAGGTGCGTGATACGAGTGTAGTTACACACGTTGCACGTGCTGGCGTCTGCAGTACTAATTGTTCTAAAGCAAAAAGTTTAAAACAAATTTTGCTTTGCGCGCGCGTTCGTCAAAGCCTTATTATGATTATTTACTTCAAATCTTGCATAAGAGGAAGGCCAGCGCGCGCGGACCGTAGAATTACACTTCCAGCGTTCTCCTCGATGCTTGGGTAATTTAGAAAAAGGCCTATTGGGACTCTGTCTGCTTCTGCGTGTTATCAATACCCGGCCGACTGAGTCAAGGCAATCCGCTCTCCAAAGACGTTGCCATGCCGACAATTATAGCGTTCATTTAGGCTTAGGAATGGCCAGAATCAAAAGACTATCTAAAAAATGTGGCGAGGTCATTGCTCATGCTTTGCAATTAAAGTGAGGTAAGGCAAAGCAAAAGCCTCCTGCACCGTACGTTGCTGACTAACGCGCCCGATATTGCAGCTACAACGACATATTAGTTCCAAAGTTAGCGGCGCTCACTCACCGGAGCAGCGCCATGTTTCCCCGTATCCCTACCGAGCCAGTCACGTGATTTCAAAGTCCCTCGCCTAGGTGCTGCGGCCAACTTTAGCCGCAGTTAGCGCTTCGAGCAAACGGGCCCTGGTCTGAACTTACAGCGATCGCGCTGATTAATAAAACATTTTTTTTTATGTCTAACTGAAAGGAGTAAGTACTTTCGATCTCAATATACAATCCAAAAAGAAGGTGAGCAGAGGGATCTGGTGGTGCCACCTCAGAAAACACCGCGTCGATACCGTAACAAAAAAAAAAAAAAAAACTTCGAAGCGGTTGTAGAACTTAAGGTCATTAAGGTGATCTTAAAACTTAAGAATAGCGGAGCTTGCGACGTGGATGGTTTACAAATAAATACGTTAAATACGCTGTTCATTTTTTAGCTGCAGTGCTAACGATATATTTAATCTTTCTTTCGTTACTGGTGTTTTTCCTAAACGAATGCAAATAGCCAAAGTGTCAGTACCACACAAAAAGGGGAGTGTAAATGGTATGGGTAATTACAGACCAATTTCTACATTGCCAGTTTTTTCTAAAGCCCTTGAAAAGGAACTTCATACACGTCTAACTAATTTTTCAACTAAGCATAATTTGATAACTGCTTCGCAGTTTGGTTTCCTAAAGCATAAATCTACGATGCTGCCCCCCTCGTCCAGAAAGAATTCATCTTGCAAAATCTTGAAGAAAAAAAATTGTTCTTGGAATATTTATAGATTTCACAAAGGCTTTTGATTGTCTAAATCATGAAATTTTACTAGCGAAATTGGATACGTATGGGATTCTAGGGCATGCTTTGTAGTTATTGAAGTCTTGTCTAGAGCATCGAATGCAACTAGTTTATATTGATGCATATTCGTCAAGTTCGAAGCGTATTCTTACTGGTGTTCCCCAAGGAAGTATATTAGGTTCTTTTCTTTTCAATATTTAACGTTAATGACATTGTGAATATTAACTCTGATGCAACATTTATCAACTATGCCGACTGTAGCGTTGCAAGTGCGCTGAACAAACAGAGCGCTACCGCGGCGGGCAGAATAAGAATCGGGCAGCCATTCCCATTCACTGGCTTTATTCTACTTCCTCTTCTTCGTCGCCGCCGCTATATACGGTGATCACGCGCAAACATAAAATCTACATCACTACATCACTTCCCCCGAGGAGCAAAGAAATGAACAGAGCGAAACGCTTTTCAGGAGCAGACGTAGTTCCTGAGTCTTGTAGGAGGGTACCTTGTACGGACCGGTCGTGCTCTTCCTGATAGATCAGGGCCAGGGGCTTCAAGGAATCGCTGGTTTCTTTCGTCCTCCTCCACGTCGAGCTGTTGTTCAAATTCCGGAGTCGGACGTGGTCCTTCACTGGATCTTTGAGCTTCGTTGGGTTGCAGGTCTCGTCTCTCCCCCACGTTGATGTGTTGTTGAGCTTCCTGGTGAGCATGACGCGTGTTCATGGCGTTTTCTTCCTCAGCATCATCCGCATTGATCAATTCATTATGTGCTCTGAGCTTCGCACTCGTGGGAAGAAGTTTGAAGAAACTTGAGTTCCTTGTGATAATTTTCTGATCTCTCTGAGCAGTTATCTGCGTCCCTTTGATTTCGATCACTTTATATGGCTGCGGGTCATAAGGGGGAGTGAGCTTGTTCGACGGAGGCTGTCTACACAGTACCCGATCTCCGACTTCGAAGTTGTGGGCTCTCGCATGTCTGTGTTCATCTGCGTAAATCTTGTGCTTTCTTCGATTTTCGTGATCCTTGTGTTGCCATTCCTGTGGCACGTTGTTAGTGTCTGCGGAATCGGGAAGGAGGTAGCCCATAGGTCTTCCAAAGAGTAGTTCGAAGGGCGTTTTCCCTGTCGTTGAGTGAGGTGTCGCCCTATAGGCCATTAGAAATTTGCTCAATTCGGAAGTCCACGTAGAGTTTTCCAACGTTGTCGCCTGTAGAAACCGTTTAAGTGTGCGCATGAATCGTTCGACCTCACCGTTCGCTTGCGGCCAGCAAGGCGTGATGCGCTGATGGCGAAATCCTAGCGAGTCAGCGAAGTTTTTGAAGTCAAGGCTTTGGAATGGAGGCCCGTTATCCGTTTTGACGACCTTAGGAATCCCGAAGGTACTGAAGATCTTCATAAGGTTGGTGATGACAGTTGGGGCCGCTAACGATGATAATACCGCGACGAGAGGGTAACGTGACGTATCATCCATTAGGACCATTATGTATTTGCCGTTAGGGAAAGGCCCCGCGAAGTCAAGTGAGAGCGCCTCCCAAGGTTGATTTGGCTTCGATGGAATCGCGACGGGGTCAGAGTGTTGATGTTGGATGGTTGCCTGACACGCCATACAGTTTTTAAGAGTAGTTTGTACCATGCTGTCTAGGTGGGGAAACCATACTTTTCGCTTCATGAGCGCTTTTGTTTTGGAGATGCCCTGGTGCCCAATGTGAGCGAGACATATCGCCTGTTGCTGGAGAGCAGCCGGTAGAACGAGGCAATTGCCTTTCAGTAGTAGGCCGCTGTCCGTCAGAGAGAGCTCGTGCTGTACGGATATAAACTCTCTGAGTGCTGGGTCGTTCCACCTGGCAGGATTGCTGAGGGCAGCGATCACCTTTTGCATATGAGGGTCGTTTAGAGTGGCGGCAGCTACTTCTGCACGAGTCATGGCTTTGGGAATGTTGTGGTGGGCAATGAAGTTGACATATGCATTAGTGCTATGAGCCAGGCGGGCGTCAGCAGGGGAGCTCGGCATGGGATGGCGAGACAGGTAATCCGAGGGGTTGTTGATTCCACACGTGTGCTCCACTCTGAAGTTGTATTGTTGGATTCTCAACACGAGGCGTTCAATTCGTGCAGACGGACACGCCCGTAGGTTGGTGAGGATGGAGACAAGGGGTTTGTGGTCTGTGCGAATGAGAAAGTTGTTACCGTAAAGATACAGATGAAAGTGCTCTGTCCCCCAGACAACTGCAAGCAACTCACGTTCAATCTGAGATTACCGTGCTTCAGTGGGGGTCAAAGCCCGACTAGCATATGCGACAATCTCGGTGTTGTTGCCTTCCTTCTGTGCTAGTATGGCACCAAGGCCAACAGGCGACGCGTCGACCGTGAGAATTATTTCTTTTGTACCATCAAAAAAGACAAGGTTGGGGATCTCAGACAGCTTTTCTTTCAGCGTATCCAAAGCACCTTGCTCTTCTGGTCCCCACACCCACTTGGTGTTCTTTTTTGTGAGAAGCCGAAGAGGGTACGTTATATCAGCAAGGTTAGGTAGGAAGCGTCCGCTGTAATTTACTGTACCAAGCAGACTTCGAACTTCATGAGCGTTGGCAGGGGCCGGCATTTTTTTTAGTGCTGCGATTTTCTGGGGGTCTGTTCTGATTCCAGAAGCAGAGAAAATGTGACCGAAAAAACAGAGTTCTTTCTGTGCGAAGAGACATTTTTTTGGATTAACTGTGAGGCCGTTCTCTGTCAACCTTTCGAGAGTTGCCTGGAGAGCCTGATCATGCTCATCCTTTGTCTTGCCAAACACAAGTATATCATCACTGATGTTGAGGACGTGAGGTATGCCGTTGAGTACTTGACGGATGGTTTCCTGGAAAACCTCGGCAGCTGCGTTAATTCCAAACATAAGTCGTTTGTAGCGGTACAATTTGTTGTGTGTTGCAAATGTTGTGATTGTTCTTGATTCATTATCAAGTTCTAGTTGGTGGTACCCATCTTTTAGATCAAGCTTCGTGAAGAGTGTTGATCCGTTCAGCGCTGTGATCACGTCGTCGATGGTAGGGCAGACGTGCCTCTCGCGAAGAATGGCCCTGTTCGCACATTTCATGTCGATGCATAGGCGAATGTCCTCTGGATTGTGCGGCTTTGGCACAATTACGACTGGTGAAACCCATGGAGTAGGTCCGGTTGCTTCTTCGATGATATCAAGGGCCAAGAGCTGGCTTATCTTCTCTTCTACTTTGCTTCGCACTGCAAAAGGGATTCTGCGATGGGGCTGAGCAACCGGGGCAATGGCTTTGTCAATGTGGAGGTGTACTTGGAGGTTTTTTAGTTTGCCTACACCCGCACACAACTCGGGAAAAGCAGCGAGTGGGGTCTCGAGCAAATTTGGGGGCACCTCTCCATTCGAGCGTGCATCTTTTTGTGAGTGTCCTTGGATGGCGTAAGTAATTTGGATTAGGCCCAGTCTATTTGCAGCAGCGAAGCTCAGCAGTGACTTCACGGTTCCCTCTATTACGAACACGTCTTCTGTTGTGTCGCTGTCCCTGTACTTCAGCGTGACACTGAGCTTTCCTATGATTGGTAGCGGAGCATCCGATCCATAGGCGTAAATACGCGTGCCTGCTTGTTGGAGTTTTGTGAGTGCTCCAAGCTTGTTAAGGGTAGAGGTTCTAATGACCGATACTGAAGCACCTGTGTCAATAAGAAATGTTATAGGGGTGTTGTTAACCTGCAGATGAACCTCTGGGAGGTTTTGGTGCGATACTTGTGATATAGTTCCGACAGCATAAACGCTCTCGTCGGAGTCAGAATCATGAGAAATCTGGAAGATAGGCTTGTGTGCTGATTGGCACACCTTGCCATAGTGTCCTTTTCTGCCACATGCTTTGCAAGAGGCAAATTTGGCGGGGCAGTTTACTTGTCCTCCCTCGTGGGGCCAGGGAGCACCACAGTGGAAACACTGGGGAGGCGAGACGTGGGTGCGTTGTTGTGCGCTGCCTCCATATTTCAGACGGGAAGAGAAGCAGCGGGGTTGTTGGGCATTTCTGGATGTGCCTGCATGGCCGTAGCGAGGCTGTCCAGAGATTGTTTGAACCGTGGTGGTTGTTGACGACCCTTCCATGGCAGTCGTTGCTCGGTTGACATCCTCGAGGAGTCGAGCCTGATTCAAAAGTGATGGAAGGTTAAGGTCTTGCCTTAGGGCTACTCGTCGTAGGCGTGAAGATGTCGTTGCAAATATGATCTGGTTCTTGATTTCCTCGTTGGCGTTCGCGAAACCGCAATTGCGGGCAAGCAGTCGAAGCCTTATCGAGAATTGGCCGACAGATTCGCCCTCGAGTTGCTTTGCCTGACGAAACTGAAAGACCTCGAAAGTGGTGTTCGTGCGGGGATTGAAGTATGCGTCAAGCTTGTCTTTGAGAGATTGGTATGAGTTTCTGGTCGTTACTGAGGGTGTATCAGCATCTGGCGTCGTACTTGAAGTGGGACCACTCTGCTGGTCAGGAAGGGTATCGCAGAGTTCATGGACACGTTCCCCCGCATAGTGGAGCAGGAGAGAACGTTTGCGTGCGTCATTCTTCACATCGAAAGCGATGAGGAAGTTTTCAAAGCGAGTGATCCACTTTCGCCATTCGGTGCCGATATTAGTTGGGTCAGTGGCATCCAAGTCAAAAGGGGGCAGTGAGGTTGGAATGAGGGTCATCATTAGTGGAGAACAGTAGGCTTGGCTGTGAAGCTAGCGGCTTGTGATACAGCGGCGGCGCGCTGCGAGGTCGTAGAGGGTGGACACTTGCCAGAACAGTAGCTGGACTGCCTAACACATCCTCGTCGCCAATGTAGCGTTGCAAGTGCGCTGAACAAACAGAGCGCTACCGCGGCGGGCAGAATAAGAATCGGGCAGCCATTCCCATTCACTGGCTTTATTCTACTTCCTCTTCTTCGTCGCCGCCGCTATATACGGTGATCACGCGCAAACATAAAATCTACATCACTACACCGACGACACTAGTTTGCTTTTTTCAGCTCAAAATGGTCGATGTGCTATTTGACAGGGATAATCAAGCGTTATCTGCATTAGCAATCAGGAGTCGCGTTAATTCCCTACAAATCAACGCCGATAAAACAAAAGCAGTGCTTTTTCGCCCAAAAACATAAGGTAGTCCCAATTACAAGAGATGCCGTTTTGAACTCATACAAAATAGAGGTTGGAAAATCTTTCAAGCTCTTAGGTTTCCTTTTTACCGAGACTATGTCATGGGATAGTCATGTTAACTACCTTATTTCTAAGCTGTCACAAGTAGTAGGTCTGATAAACCGCCACCGGTACATGTTACCAGCAGGGGAAAAATTATGAATATATAACTCGTTATTTTACTTCCACTTAAATTATTATAATTTAGTCTGAAGTACAACAACGTCGACAAATAAAAAAAAACACTTGTTGCAAAAAAAAAAAAACAGCGTTAAGGGCTATAGAAGACGTTCCAATTGACTTCCCCACAGCTAGTTTATTTAAGAAGTTTCGCGTTATCAATATACACGCCATCTTTAGCTACATACTTCTCACTAGTCTAAAGCTAGAACAAATTAGGGGTGCAAACTTTTTGATAAACCTTGGACAGCTCTCCGAAAATATTCACGCATATTCTACCCGTCGTGAAGAATGTTGGGAGGTGGTCACTGCAAGAACGAACTTGGCACACAAATGCTCAAACATACTATCCCAAAAATACTTAACTCACTTGAAGATGAAGGATTAGAATTCAGTACATTGTCCCTTACAGAAATTATAGTAATTTTCTCCACAAATGAATCCGAGTATGAACCAAACTTTTGGGGTCTAAGAACATGGCGAATAGGTCACTTTTCTGTTGTAGAAAATGATAAAATATATGGACTGAAACACTCTTTGTTAAATTGCGGTAATCAAAATTTGTAATTTTTTTTTTTTTTTGAGTTGCTGCTATTGCGGTTAAGGACTTGTCAAGCTGTGTCATGTAGCTTTTTTTCCTTGATCGCCACCTTCAACGCCCGATGGAAATAAACTCATTATTATTACTATTATTATTATTATTATTATTATTATTAATATTTTGTATTTTCGAGTGCTTTCTTTATGATCAAAAGAGATCGTCCGCTATTTTCCGCCGTCACTGCTGTTTTCTTTTTAACGTAGCCCAAGACAAAGCCAATCCTCGTAGTATACAGGTGTTCATCCCGGCCGTTCCAAAATCGAGTCCCGGATCATTTACTCGCGATGTCACGTGGTATTACACGCTGATGTAGGAGACAGGTTAGTCCGGTAAGATTTGGAACATAGCCTATTTCTCCGACGTCGAACTGACAGGCTGTACGCTCCCACCGCCGCACGCGCCCCACGCGCACGCCTTTCCCATATAAAAGATTTAAAGTAAATAACCAAACTAAGGCGCTGACGAACGCCCGTGCAAGATGCCATTTGTTTTAGGCTTTTGCTTTAGAAGAGTCACTGCAACAGACGCCGGCACCGCCGGCACGTGGAACACTATTCCCTGCATTCTCCTTGATGGTTGGGTAATCTAGCAAAAGGTCTGTCTCTTCAGCAGATTAGTTATCAAATAGGCACCATTTTCAAGAATAGCAGTCTCTCCAAGTAGATAATAAAGATTTCTCATAGATTTGCCCCTGTGCGACTCGCAACGGCCATGTCTACGCTCGTGCCGCCCTCCCTTTGTTGTTCCAAGTGCTTACGTGCCTAGTTTCTTTTCCTTCTGCTCTCCCGGGGTGGCGGTCCCGTCGCGCGTGTCTACTTTCCTCCGGCTCTTCGGGGCAAGGCCGTGTCGTCTGCTAAAAAGCTTCGCTGGTCATCCACCTTCAGTGTGGAATGGCTCATGATTTTTTACAAGTATGATGCTTTTTTTTCTTGTTAATACTTGGAAGAAATAATGTAAACGCCGCAGTTTCTCGAGGTTTAAAATATTTAGATCTTAATAAAAGAGCGGAATTTTTGTGCAGCATTGATTTAATATAAGTTAAATCAGTAAGCCAATCTACGCTGTTCGAGGCTTCGCAGCAGTGGGCCGCAGATGTGCGTAAAATGATTGACGCTCTACGCATTTTGAAGCAAAACTACCTTTTAATAAAAATACCCTCTGGTGCTTTCACAGTAGTTCTATACAATTCATTGCCAACCTCTTGCAGGCGATGAAGGACCCAGTTGTGTTTGGCAAGATTTGTTTTTATATTTCTGTCATCATTTTCCTTTTCTAAACTGAAGATTAGCTCATGGGCGCAGGAGTAAAAAAACATGCAAGAAGAGAAAGAAAACTAGCAGAACTTAGCGGTTTTGTTTTTGCGTCACCGTCGCACAAACCGGAAATTCCGCTAGACCGTTTCTTGGCCACTGGGCATTTTCTTGCAACGACTTCTCCAGTCAGCCGTAGTTAAAAGCTCTACCTTCCAATAAAAAAGGAAAGATAAATGCCAGGAATGCCTTTCTAACTCAGCGGCTATATGAACGCCGCCATGTCATGTGATCGTTTCCTTTCGAAAGCCAGCAGTATATAAGCTCTCCGTCCCTTCAAAATGCCAGTCCCACTCGCAGCACTCTTCAAAGTAACAACCTCTCCTAACCATGAGGTCCCTCGTAAGTTCCATTCCGAAGTTTCGATTTGAATACTTCCTTTTATTACCGTTAATTTAGGTCTCTCTTCCAGCGACTCGCGAAAGTGCGGTCAAAACGCAAATTCATATCGTGTCTGCAGACGTTATACCTCAACAAACAGTTATCAAGAGCTCTTTGTCTTTTATAAAAAAAAACTTAAGACTTTTTTTCGTTTCTTTATATGCCGCTACCGTACCTTATACGGATGTACCTTAAAGTGCTTAACGATGACACCCAAGCGTCGACAATAGCGCTATTAGAGGTGCAAAACTAAAATGTATGGTTTCATAGCCGAGTAACTTCTTAGCTTCTTACAACCAACTCTAGAATGCCGGATATTCGTTAGAGTCACCGACAACTGAAGAAACGAAGGGAGAGGCGAGTCCAGAGCATTTTTTATCATCTCTCATGAGCCCATCAAATTACAGCATTAGACGATAAAGAAAAACTCAGAAAAACCAATCACGAAGCAAGAAGAACGAGCATAATAAGCCAAGCTCCGCATTTCTTAAGCTGTCATCTACTATGCGGAGCGCAAACTCATCTGCTTTTGTGCAGGGGTTGCAATGAGGTCAGAACGCCGAGCTTTGATTGGCTGTGATACGAAGGATAGGGGAATACCTCAATGCTCGCTGCCTTGAGGTCTTGCTACTATCCACACAATCACAACCAATTAGAGTTCGGCAGTGTTCTGACGTCACTGCAACCACTGGGCTAAGAGCAGACAAACTAGCGCTCCGTATACAGTTAATTTTAAAAAAAGAAAAAAGCGGCTTGAAAGTGTCGCTGAACTGCTATCTCTCCTCAGCCAATGAGATTGAGTACACTAGCCGATAAAACGACCGAAGAAGGAATCACGAAGCAAGAGGCGCAAACATTATAATCCACTCCTGGGATTCTTAATTTTTCAGTAGCCGAGGATCCGTGGAGGCGACCGTAGTGCATCGAATCGATGTACGGTGATCGTGAATGTGTAGGAGAAGCAGAGGGACTGGGCGCGTGCTATCGCTTTCTTCTCGATTCGATGATGCGATATCACGTTTGTTTCGTTTGTAGTTGTGCAGCCTGTTCCTGATGGTAGTCGTTGCCGCGGCCCACGCCGGATACGGACATGGCGGCTACGGCGGTCACGGAGGCTACAGCCACGCCATTACCCACCACTACGACAACCAGAGGGCGCACTACGGCCATGGAGGATACGGAGGATATGGCGGCTATGGCGGTGGATATGGTGGATACGGC